TCTTAGATCAAATTCATGCGTATGTGTTGGAAAACCTTGATATGTTCGCAGACTATCGAAGGTAACAAATAAAATTAGTAATATATATAAGAAATATTCATTTTACATATAGTTTATCAATACAAACTTATATATTGTTTATATATGCGACATCTGAAGAAGCTTAAGAATGAAACAACCGGTAGGAATACAGTGCATAATATTCAGAAAAGACATAAGAAAGAATTTTTTGATTGGTTAAGATTTGATGTAAGTGTTTTACAATTAATTATTAAACATTCATAATATAACATCACCTAAATATTCTCAAATTGTTTGGCTTAGGTTGAAAAATCACTTATTGATGGTATTACATTACCAGATAAAATTGTTCTCCATGCACAACGCCCTTATCACGAAATGTGATGTTTTAATGAGCATTTGGTCAATGGACATAAATTTCAAACACTAGAGACCGATGATAGGAGGGTAGCTCAGAACAGTGGGGTCATGGGTTTGTTTGTTAAAAAATGTTTTTCAAGTATAAAAGATCAGAACCTAATTCTATCTGACATACTATATTATGGCCAATTAGAAGATATTGTTGAGGTAATTTACAAGTTTTGTAAACCAAAACAATATAGTTACACGATGTTCAAGGTTTGGTGGTGTCCTGCAAAAAAGCAAAAGGATCATTATGGATTTACACTAGTCAATCTCCACCGAGAAGTATATACGGATGAGAAATTCAGTTTCGCAGAATAAGCTGATCAGTGCTTCTTTGTGAAAGATCCGGATGTCATGTCTGATTGGGTGGTTTTGTACAAGGAGCAAAGATATGTTGTTCTTCCTAATAACAATAAAAAAAATATTGAAGAAAGTAAAGATAATTATAGTGAACCAATTGGGTCATCTGATGACGTTTGGCAAGAATTCTCTTACACACAGAATATGACGCTGGATATAGGTATGAACTATATATGCTACACTGCATTACCGATTTTTAGCTTATCATAATAAAAACAATAATGCATTTCATAATAACATATCTCATGAGCATGTATACAATTTTTTCTTAACTATGTTAATAATTGAATTTGCAGATGAGGAGGGCGAGGAGGCTCTTTGGCCCTGAGGGTGATCGATCATGGAGTATCACCCCAGGTACTGGTGCTGATGATACACTACCATCTCCGGATGCAGGTATAAAAATTAATTAATATTTTAATATATTTTATAAATTATTAGTTATCTAGCTCATAGTGTTTATTTGTTGTAGATGTGGGTTATTCATCACCCGGCCCCTCTGATGAAGCACCAGAACCATCCCCCGACGCAGGTATTCAATATTTAATAATTAATAATGGTCAATTAAAAATTCATATTAATAATTCTCCTTTCTTATGTAGGTGCTTCTTGGACCCTGACATATCCATCCTATACATTCTATACTGACTTACGGCCGAAAACACAGGACTATCTCAGTTTACCTTTACCTCCGGACACTCATAAGTCCATGGCTGACTCAAGAAAGTACCACCTACATGCTGCAAGAAAGTTAGAGGAAATGCTTCCTTTGTTGGAGACTAGGAAAGTTATTGCACTCGTAGCAAAAGAAAGAGAGATAACGAATGGTAAATTGTATGAATACTTTTAATTTTCATATTTATATATTATATGATATATTATCATGTTATTATTATAGGCGCTAAGCCAGATCGCATAGAGAACAGACATGACAGAGGTAAGCCTGAATCTAAACAAACGCTAAGAGGAATGAGGGCGATAATTCGGTGGAATAGTTATAATTTGCATGTTGGTTCTTGGTCGACTCGATTGAATGCATATATTGGGGTTCTCATGCATAGGGCAAACATTATCAACCCTTATTTTCATTTCCGAGAACTACCATGGACCGCATATGAGGCGATATGGACAGAGCTTATGGTAACTGCATATTGCTTTAGCTTTTCATTTATTAATAATTAGTAATTGATATTAAATTATCCTTACTAAATGTGTATGTAAATCTACAGGACTGCTTCTGCCTTGAGGACTTTGAGGGGGCTTGGAATTATGTGTTTAATATCAAAGTTGAAGCAGTCCTCAAACAATGGAGACATGAGATCAAACATGAAACCTATGACAGGTATGAGGAGGACTGGCAGAGGTTTTTAAACCTCGATGACCGAGTTGACGAGATTCATTTCACAGCTCTCATCATGTATTGGGACAGCGATGCCGCCAAGGTTAGTTTCATGAAAATTACTTTATAATTTTAAGATATTATTTCATTATATATTTACTAAATTTTTTTTTAAGAATAAATCCACGAAGGGGTCAGAAAATAGAAGAAAGAAGCTACATGACCACAACTTGGGTTCACACTCCTATGCCAATCTGGAGAATGTTTATTATTAGGATACAGTATATATGTCATTTAAAGCTTTAAATGATCTTAATGCTTAGTATGATTATGAAATCTCATAGTTTATAATATGTCAGAGAAAATCATTAATTTCGATACACTTGAGGGTAAAAGCGGCGTATGATACTTTTCGTGATAGATATAGGGGTGATGAGAAGAATCGGGATAAGATCAAGGCAAATCTCGAGTTGGTGGTGAGACTTATACATATCTTGGGTAGTATTATTAACTCTATTTTGTTGTTAATATTACGAGGAAACGAGAACACAAATAATATGGTCTTTATGTTAATATTACGAGGAAACGAGAACACAAATAATATGGTCTTTACCTTAAATTAACTATATATTTGTGCTTTAGGAGGGATTTGAGGCAGCATTCAAGGAGGCTGCATCTGTGTACATTTCACAGGAGGAGGAACAAATCGAGCCAGACCCTCACATGCTTTCTGCAGAGGAGAACATCACTCTCACACAGAATTTGATAGGTCATAATAGGTATGGATGGTAAAAAATCGAATCAATTTGAATACTATGTTCCTATTTATATTTGTTTAACATTATTGAATTCGAGAGCAAAATTTAATATTTATTTCTCCCTAATAATAGGAGATGAAGATATCCTCTGCATGGTGTTGGAGCTTCACCCGGTATAAGCATGAGATCATCCACAGTATCCTCCACGCCATCTACATTAATGAGAGCAGCCCCAAGCAGTTTTCAGGCTATGTCATTTGTCACACGTATCTCTGCGTTTTTGATTGACAAGATTAACCCGGAGATGCATATTCAGGTGACTAGTGAGATGACTAGAGTTGCGCTAACGGCGAACTCAATGGACTATCTTATGGGGTATGTTATACAATATTTAGACGGTGTGATTCCTTATAGCGCGTATGGTGGTACCATACGGATCATAAGCTCGATTGACGATAACTCCGACGCTAGACAGAGCAGCGCTCAGGTACCTTATTTTTTCTTATATTTATAAATTTATTTTTATAATATGTTATCAAACACCACATAATGATTATTCAATTGAACATTCAGAGTGAAGATATTAGAGGGAGCAACACTCGTTCTCGTAACCGGGATAGAGATACTGCCGATGACGATGATAGATGAGGTTTTTTTTATTTTTAATGTAATAAACAGTTTTATTTGTTATAACACTATATTTATTCATGTCGTGTATCCATTTGTTATAACACTATATTTATTCATGTCGTGTATCCTATCTTATTCATGTACATTGTTAGTATATATGTTGTTGGATGTATATATCGTGTATCCTATCTTATTCATGTACATTGTTAGTATATATGTTGTTGGATGTATATATTAGACGGAATTAGTTAATGTATATTTTGGATTGGATGGTTAGATTTGTGCATTGGTTGGATTTGATTATATTTGGTTTTGAATGGAACTGTTATGAATTTTGATTATATTTGGATGGTTGGATGTATTCATGTGTACAATATTTATTGGATATATTCATGTAATAATGTAATTGTACAGGGAAATACAAATTGTAAATAATTTTTTTTGCTAAAAAAATATCAACCTAGACGGAATTTCATCTAGGATGAGTCAAACTAGACGGAATTCCGTCTAGGTTGTCATAATCAACCAAGATGGATTTCTGTCTAGGTTACCAACCTAGACGGATTTCTTACTTCTGTCTAGGTTGACTACCGTCTAGGTTGATCACTCTAGACGGAATTCCGTCTAGTTTGAGCCAATCTAGACGGATTCAAAATAAACAGAACTAACTAGACGGAATTCCGTCTAGGTGAACAAACTTAGACGGGATTTGGAGCAACCTTGACGGAAATTTCCGTCTAGGTTGCTCGTTTTTCTACTAGTGGATAGGGGTTTTTTCTGCTTCTTTGATGATTTCTTCTTCAGGTTTCGGTCTTCACATTTCCAAAACCAACAACAAGTACTCCAAATAATGGCACAAAAATATACATCTCTTTTTAGTTTGTCCTCTCTAGTTTTTTAAAAAAATGGAATAATGGAATATTGCTCTACTAAATATACAGATTCTCATAAAAATAACTCCTTTGAAACCACTTAAGTAGCTACTCATGGAAAATAGCTCAAAATCCACGAAAATCTACATCTCCGACTCATTAGCAATCCACTAACCAACTAGAGTTACATTAATCGAACACGCTACAATCATATTTCTCACACAATCCTTGATATGCTCACTGATCACACCGCCTACCTAATAAAGCATACACTTCCTTAAGTCTCATTAATCATGGACCAAATCCATGGAGAGGTCTGGCCTCAACAGTTCATTGCGTCAAAACATATACGGACCATTTTGTGTTTCTGTGGTCACTTTTGGGCACCAATTGGTTCATGGCTTGGGCTGATGTAAATTGGGAGATCAAAGCTTGTAGGATCCTCATGCCCTTCCGTTGGTTTGACACCAACACTTAGAATTTTCTGAAGCTCCCTCCCTTTTCCCCACAGCACCATGTTCGAAAAAACAAAAACGAAACTGGGAGAGAGAAATGAGTGACCTACGTTCCAAAGTAGAGCTTCTCATCAAGATTCGAATTTTATGCAAACAACAAAATTAGGAGGGGTACATGTGCAAATAGGACAGATTCGAAAAAACAAAAACGAAACTGGGAGAGAGAAATGAGTGACCTACGTTCCAAAGTAGAGCTTCTCATCAAGAATAGCCCATCCGAGCACCGCAACAATCACCAGCAGCAACGGATTGAACATTGACACAAACAACGCCTCTCTATGCACCAAGCCATCAGCGACACCGCGAACCCTGATCCAATCAGCCCCTTAACAAGCCAATATTTACAAATTTAGTACACATTTTTTTTTTTGAATAAAGATAATACGAGAAACACTCTTCATCTATACTCAGTTTACCAAGGAATCCCTTCGTCTAAAAAGTTCAATAGAAAACCTCTAGGTACTGTTTTCAAATAGACCTTAGTTCTTTGGCCTAGATTGATGAATAATAAAAATAAATTTAAACTGTTACTCATATCCAAGAACCAACGGTGATGAGTGACAATTTACTTTATTTATTTTATTTTATTTATTTATTTTAACAAGGGAATACTTCGAACAATGGGTGTCAAACTCTCAGTCATGTCTAAAGGGCAGCCCCCAGCGCATAGTCTCGATATTCTAAGAAACTAACTTCTTGTGGGTGTTCCCTAGGAGAGTCGAACTCGAACAGACCTTTAAGTACTACTCATAAACATTTACCAACTCAGCTAGACCCTAGCCTCTTGGATAATGACAAGGTTTTTTTTTGTTGAACTTTTTGGTGAACGGCCTTCTTAAAAACAAGACATGATACAGATAAAATGAAGTCTCCCATAATCTACCAAAAACTGCAACAGAACTTGAACGAAACAGCCACTTACAAGGTAGATGGCCGTGTAGAGCCTGATATCCCACCCTAGTGCCCATGCCGATACATTCCGCTCCACCACAGCCCCTAGAACAAAACATTCCGCCGCAGCCATCCAGCACATAATGGCAGAACTTGTATACGGAGAAGAGAACGATTTACTCATCTTCGCCTGAATAATGAACCACACCGAGTACGCAAAGCAACTGGCGATGACAAGGATCGCGCCTACTAGCATATCGGTGCTGCTGTTGGTGGCTTCTCGGCGTACTTCCAGTGGATGTGGGAGGGCCAGATGTGGACTAGGGTGCCCTTGTAGAAAGTCATTAGCATCGATCCTCCGATGCAGAGGATTGTGCCGATGACTTTGGCTTGGCCTGGAACTGTTCGGATCCCGACTGTTTCCATTCTGTGAAGGAAAGAGGTATTTAGGAAGTTGCATCCTTTATATGGAAATAATGAGTGCTAGCTACTAAAAATAGACTAAGAGATTCATCTGGTGAAAGTCCTTATTTTTATCTTTGTTATTTTGTTTTCCTAAATGAGGTGATAGTTTCATACCCACTATCTCCGCGTTCCTTTTTGTTTAGTACTATTTAACTATATGTGCAAGATGAACATAAAAGTAAAACATATTATCTACGTACACAACTTTTTTTTTAGTAGAAATCATAGATAGAACCTTCTTTGTCTAAGTCTTGTTTTGCAATAAATCAACATATATATCGTTTGTTAAATACTATAAAATGTACTCAATTTATTTATGTAAAAAAAAATTCTATGTTTGATTATGAATCCCCACTTTGAGGTATGTTCAATTACAGAAATCTATACTTTCAGTAAAAACATGTCACAGAGTACTTTTTATTAACATTTTGTATAAATGAATGTTAACTTTTTACAAGAGATGAAATTTGACAAAAGTCCTCTAAATGAATTAAATTTTCTTTTCTTTTGTTTTTTCAAATACAAAGGAGGATATAAATATATATGACTACATTAAGAAGATTTCTAGCACGACTGCGTATCATGGGACTAGCACTGAGTTTCAACCTATTATTACTATTTAGAGTCAAATCTTATCTCTCCTGAACCGTACCCACTTATCTACTTCAGGCATTTTTTGAGGGAATTAATTTCTTAATATGGTTCGCATCTGACAAATCTTCCTTAATTAAGGCTTTGGTTAACACACTTTATAGACCAAATAATTGCATATTGACTCCGCAAAAAGAGGTCGCTTTCTTTCTCCACTTTAGTCGCAATTCAATCACTAAATATGAAAGTTTACTAACTATAATGTTTATAGGACTTTTCGTGAACCATGGAAAAGTGTAAAACGATAAAATCTACAATAAGCATCTAGTGAAGCTTAATATATAGTACTCATACCTCAATAACATGCATATATATATGAAACCATATATAATATGAAAACGATATATATGATGGCGTAATAAATAAAAATAGTTGTTAGGTCTGTCTTTCTAATCACATTTGAACAAGTAGATTTTATATTGTTGTATATCTCGTAGTAGCTTATTTTGTTAAATAATATTAATCTTCCATTGTGACAAATTAAAGTCAGATTGGGTGAATAGTTCGATTGTTTCTAGTCTAAAAATAATAATTCAGTACTTTTTCAGCTAATAATTAAGAGCTAGTTTTCAATAAGTATTCCCTATGTATTTCATAATATCCCAAGAAAATAATCTTCTAGAGCAAACTAAAAAGTATAGGCTAATGATTAAATTCTCTGGTCACGAGATCGATTTATTGACTTTGTAAATAACCGGTGACATATCTACCAAGCCACCAACAAAAAACCGCTGACCGCCCTTGCAGACGAGGCTTATGAGCTTACACGTGTCACGGCTCACGATCTTAGAATCCTACGTGGCACTGTGGGGTTACAACAAACCGAGCTTCTCCATGTGAGCCTCAGCCAAGGTGTTTTTCTTGCGTGTGTTAGCTTTTTGTTCATTTTAAGGCATTTTCCTTTTTAATTAGTTAGTTAGTTAGTTAATTAGTTAGTTAATTAATTATATTTACCTAAAAGGAATGGCCATGATGAAGGTGATGGCTGGTAGCATGTTGTTGAGAGCGCATGCAATTGTTGGCGATGAATACTTGAGCCCCAAAATATACGTCAACTGGTTTATAGTTGCCCTGCATTTATACGACACATATAAACATTACATATTGAAATATAAACCTTTAATTCTTACTTTATTACGTAAACTTTTATCAGGTGACAAGTTCAAGTTACCCAAACAAAGAGCAGAAGAAAATCTGGACAAGTACTCCACGAGTAATTTTCATGCGAGTTTTCCTGCAAAAATGAAAATGAGGTTATCAATCATGCATTTATTAACAGCATCAGATGCGTTAGTCTTGCAGTTCCTCTACTGACACGTGGCAAAATATGCAAATTTCCCCAAAGTGAGGGAGCCCTTAATACAAGTGCAACATGTTTTTGATCAACAGTCCTTAAAAAATAATAAAATGGAAAACAGAATAACAAGATAACAAATAATTATTTAGTGTGCGTATTCTGTTGAAAGAATTACGTATACGAAATCTCAAACCATAACATAAGCAATAAAGTTTGTAGAACGTACTACATATGAGGCGATATAATTAGTATGGTTGAAGTGATAAAATAGAAGATTAAAAAGGAAAACTAGTTTTAGATTGAAGCTTCTCTTGATTAGAAAGTTTTAGATTGAAGCTTCTCTTGAATATATAGAAAAAACCACGTGATTAATAATACTCCCACTAGAACTGATGAAATTGTCTGAGCATGCTATGTATAACTTTTTAATGAAAAAGAGGGCCTCTCCATCCATATTATACAATACAAAAATGAAAGAGAAAATTAAGTATATAAAAATGTTTACATAAAATACTATATATGCGTGAGTTAGAAAATTAAAAAAAAATCAACTTCTAAATTAAAAAAAAACCAAGAAATTAAAGGGGAAGAAATGAGAATAAGGATATGGTAGTCTTAAACCTATCCATGAAGTAATCTATCCGCGATACTATCATTACAAAAAAAATGAAAGAGCAAAAATTAAAAAGAAAAAACATTTTTTAAATTCAATAAAAACCAAGAAAAACAAATGATGATGAATGAATGTGGGAACTTCAAACCTCTCCAAGAAGTACGCTATCGGCGTCAAGAGCACACTAGCGATGATTTGTCGATAGGCAATCATAACATAAGCGCTCATGCCTGAATCCATTGCTAGCTTCGACAATATATTCAACCCCGCAAACCCAAATTGTACTGCAACCATGGCAAGCGTCGGAAGACAATCACTAGCCATTTGTACTTGTTTTCCTTTTCCCTCCCTCCCTCTCGCTTCTCTTGTGTTGTTCTTCGTAAAGAGAAGGGAGAGTGAGGAGAGAGAAAGGCTAGTGAATGAATGAAGAAAGATAGGAGAGATTGAGGGGGTTATATATAGACGAGGAGAGAGAAAGAGAAGGAAGGAAACCAACCCTGACGTTGAGGAGGCTAAATGGTAATAACAGAAAGCGTAGAAGAATCCAACAAGCTCTCTACCTCCTCCTCGTGTATAATGCAACTCTCACTTTCTCTCTCTCTCTCTCTCTCTCTCTCTCTCTCTCCACACAAATTAAACTACTTCTCTCTCTAGCTTTATTTCTTTCTCTCTCTAGATTTGTATGGAGGTAGCTTTTTCGTTCATAATTGATTGATGTGCGTTTATGCGGAGAAAAAACAGTGAAACCGTTTATGTGCAAGCTGGGGTTTCTTGCACCACTTATTCTCTGGACTAGATGTGCATCAGGACAAACATGAGTAGCTGGGGAGCTTAATTAATCAGGCTCGCAATTTCTTCATTTTCCTCTGGGACCCACGGTGTTCCTTATCGGGTCGGGTTACACGGTGTAGGATCCTCTACGTCCTGGGTTTTAGAGAAACTTTTAATATTAATCAATGGCATCTCTTCCTTATCAGCAAATGATAGATTTAGCACTCACTGGCCTGTTACTCGATGCAAACAGAAGAAGGCCAGAGTTCATGTGATTAATTAATCGTTCTTGTGGAAGCTGAAGCGCTGTCGACCGAAATGGATTTCTTTTCTTTGGCTATTAATTGTTTCGAGATATGCTGATCGATGCATAATGCAAATAGAGTCACACGACATTTGGTATGGGATGCTAGCTAGCTGCGGAGTTTGTGGTGCACTAATAGAAGGCAATGACCACGTACTCATAAAGGGTATCCGGGCTAGAGAAATGTGGAATCACTTTGATGCTCACTGCAATGCTGCTGTCCATTCTTATGACTACAGTTTTCGTGATTGGTTGCCGATGAATTTAAAGCACGATGAGTCATTGTCTGTGGTGAGGCAAACTGGAACATTCTCTTTGATGCAATTTTATGGTTTTTATGGATTTGGATCGAGGTGAAAGAATATCTGGGCTAGGATGAGCACAATTTTTTTTGGAAATATTGCTTCTAGCCCTCAAAACGAGTCAGAGTGCTCCCCCGCGGCCCGGACTTGTCAACGGTCCCTTCGCCCCAAAAACACCTCAGTGATTTTCCTCTAGCCCTCAAAACACACACCCCCCCCCCCCCCCACACACACACACGTGAAACGTTTGTTTAAAGCCAACGTGATCTTCCCAAAATACCTTCATACAGCCCGTCACCCTATCAAACGGAAATCCGGTAATAGTACTGTAGCATTAATTGGTGATTAGAATGTGGTTTTTGAGGGAAATAACTCATTTCCCTCCAAATTATTACCATATCTATTCCTCCTCCCGCAGTAAAACCATCTCCTCCCTGTTTGCTTACTCCAACTTTTCCCCGACCACTTAATTCTCCTCATTAAATCATCTTCGATCTTTCAACTACTCTTGTTTAAAATGATGGATTGATCACTTCTTTGCATGGTGACAAACGCAAAAAGCAACGAAGACGGTGACAGTGTCTTCGTAGTTATCAAAGGGACTACAGAAATCGTTAGCTTGAAATATCAAGTGTCATAAAGGCTTAAAATACCAATGCAATCTCTTTCACTGAAATTCATATGCGATAGGGAAGAAAATTCAGTATTTCAATTGATAATGTCGAGGACTTGAGTTTGATATTCGAGTATTGTCGTCGTAATGGATTTACAGACGTAAACTTGTATGCTACATCTGCTGGGAAATCCTCAACATCTCAGAACACCCAAACTACTCCTGAAAATGTGTAAGCATTTCACTTATAATTTCCTTATGAGTTCACTGATAGGTTATGAGTTGGTTGTTAACCTTATGCATTGGTTGCTAAGGTTATGAGTTGAACGACAAGGTTAAGGACTGATTGTTAAGGTTATGTGTCGTTTGCATGATTTTATGAGATAGTTTTAAGTTTGTTGCTAAGGTTATGAGTTCGCTGTTACGTATACGAGTTGGTTGCTATGGTTATGTGTTTGGTGTTAAGTATACAAGTTTGTTATTGAGGTTATGAGTCCGTTGTTAAGATTAAGGGTTCGTTGTTAAGGTTATGTGTTGGTTGTTAAGGTTAGGAGTTCTGTTGTTAAGGTTAAGACTTCATTGTTAAGATTATGTGTCGGCTATTAAGGTTAGGAGTTCGTTGTTAAGGTTAAGACTTTGTTGTTAAGGTTATATGTCACCTGTTAAGGTTATATGTCGCCTGTTAAGGTTAGGAGTTCGTTGTTGCGGTTATAATTTTGGTGTTAACCATATAAGGTATATCTTCATTTTTGTTAGCCTTATGTGCTGGTTGCTAAGGTATTAATGTATTTTTTTACTTCTACAAGACTATCCCAAAAGAAAATTCCCGATGCGCAGCTGCCACGCTCATCCAAACATGTAATGATGAGTGTATTCCTAATGATAATCCCACTGGCGACTTGATCATGCTGCTAGAAGACATGATTAACAACCAAACCAAGATCTCAACTGAGTGGCACATGGTCATACGTGAAATTGGTCAGAAATTTAATAGTGCTGCTGAAGTTAGATTAGCTCTTCAATACTATTCAATTGTGAAACGGTTCGAGTATGATTTTTACCATAATGAACAAAGACGTATAAGAGTCTATTATCGATTCAAGCACACGCATGGTTGCCCTTGGATGTTGTTTGCTTCCCCACTCAGAAATTCGTTGATTATGTCTATAAAGAATTTCTGTTATACCCACACTTGCGGCTAATACGGAGCTAATGCTAGCAACTCAAGGGCATCAAGAAAGTTTATTATAGGCAAATACAATCTGTTTTGAAGGTTAGGCCAGATCTTCGTACAGTTGATATCAAGAACGACATGCTCTCAAATTATGGCATCAAGATTAACTACAATAAAGCGTGAAAAAGCAAACATATAGCTTAAAGGACTTGTTTGGTGACGATGATGAGACTTACGATTCACTGGGATGGTACATTTTTTTTATTCTTATGTTTTTGTTGTGAAGTTTTAGTATTGGTTGCCAACCTTATGTATTACTTGTGAAGGTTATGTATTGGTTGCTAACCATACGTATTAGTTGTTAAGTATACTTGTTGGTTGTTAAGTATACTTATTGGTTGTTAAGGTTAAAGGTTAGTTGTTATGGTTATAAATCTGTTGCTAAGGTTACTACTTTGTTGTTATATTTATGCAGGTATGAAGCCACGGTTCATGCAACTAATCCAGGAAGTCGTGTTGTTATTAATGCTAATGACGGAAGGTTTAGGCGTTTGTTCATAAGTTATAATGCCTGTATTGAAGGGTTCGTTGCTGGATGTAGGCCTCTCTTATTTTTGGATGGAACATTTCTTAAAGATCGCTACAGAGGTATACTACTTAGTACCACAGGATATGACGGTAACCAAGGAATATTTCCTCTTGCTTATTGTGTATGCGACCAAGAGAATGAGAATAATTGGAAATGGTTCTTACGAGGATTGTGAACGATATTGTATGATAGGGAAAAGCCTTACAATCCTCCACATTAACTGGTAGTGATTTCCAATGCCGACAAGGGTATTAGGGTAGCAGTCGAGATATTCTTTCCAGATACTTTCCATTCAAGGTGTGTTCTGCATCTAGTTGAGAATTAAAAAAAAAAGATGAAGGATTTTGGTCATAAGGCAAATGTCGCTCAGATTTTGGGTGATTTGTTACAAACTACAGCTTATAAAGTACACAATTTCTAAATGGGATGATTACATGAAAGAATTGACATCGATCGATCATAGGGCTTATGTTACTGTAATAGAATACTCCCCGGAAGATGGGCAAACGCTTACTTTCTTGTTATACGGTATGATAACTTTGTATAAACGTTATTTGTTAAGGCTACAATTTAGTTGTTAAGGTTACATTTAGTCTACAGTTTTGTTGTTAAGGTTAGGTTTTGGTTGTTAAGATTAGAGTTTTATTGTTAAGATTAGAGTTTTATTGTTAAGGTTAGAGTTTTGTTGTTAAGTTTACCCTTTTGTTGTTAAGTTTATTTTTGATTGTTAATGTTACTTCTAACGTTGCAGGTATAGTCATGTTACTTCAAACGTTGTTGAGTCCTTCAACAGCTGGATAAGAAAGACACAAATGTTACGAATCCTGCCTTTGGTGGAGGCGATACGAAAGCAAATCATGGAGTGCATGCATGAAAGAAGGCTTACGGTAGCGAATTGGTCTGGAAACTTATGTCTACAAGCGGAGATAGTGTTGAGTGAGAATACTCATCATGGTAGATGCTTGGCTTTTAAACACTCGACAGAAGATATTGTGGAGATCGAATCTAATAAAACTTGTCGTGTAGATTTAAAAAATCGAGAATGTTCATGCAGGTCTTGGGATATCAGCCGCATTCCTTACAAACATGCGTGCGCTATAATTATTTGGATGGGATAAGATATTTATATATATTGTGATTGGTTATTGACTGTTAAAGCTTTCAGAGAAAGGTATACACCGATCCTCTTTCCTATCCCAGATTACGAGAAACGCTTTGTACCGCCAGAAGACCGATTGTTAAAGCCTCCCCTCACAAAAAAAGGCATGGAAGACCATGTACTAGACGAATAAATAACAGGTCACTGAACACCCGTCCTGTAAGTGCTCTCGATGCCACATGGAGGGTCACAATCGTCAAGCTTGTAACGAGCCTATATAGTTACTAAACAAATGTATGTCTTACGTATCAACATTCAAAAAATATTTGTGCTTGGCCGTTATAATTAAGGCTATTGATTGGTTGTCAATGTTATGGCTTGGTTGTAAGGGTTATGGATTTATTGTTAAGTTTAATATTTCATTGTTAAGGTTATGGCTTGGTTGTAAAGGTTACTGTTTGGTTGTCAAGGTTATGGCTTGTTTGTTAATATTTACGTATCTGCATTCAAAAAATTCATCCTTGGCCATTATAATTAAGGCTATTGATTGGTTGT